TATAAATATAATAATCTTTGGTGAGTATACCTAGGACACAAAATGTGCATTCAATCATAAAATGCCTCAAACTTATTACATCTCAAGAATTCTCTGCGTTTCTTAGTTAATAAGATTCATAGAGAAAAAAATCAATACATTTTGAAACACAACGAGTAAACTGCAAACGCTTTTTTTATTTACAGAACACATTATTTTTATTTCATTCATAGGCACAATGGATTTGCATTTGGAATGATTATATAAATCACGAGAATCAATACGGTGTGTATCTATTCTATTTTCAGGGAATAACATCTCTATAAAAGTAAAAGTTTCACTGGCACATCATTTAAAAAAAATCTCATCAGTGTCCAATTGTAACTGTGTATCTGCCAAATAAAGTCGACTCCTACCCCACAGCACCTTCCTTACAAAACAAACAAAAAATGAAATAAAAAACATTGGTCTCTAATTATGTTATTTTCCATTACGATTGACGAGACTATGAAATATAAACTACTCCAAAAAAATGTCGAGCGATTCTGGTACATAATAAGAAAAAATTGGCGTGGTTTTTAATTTTTTTTTTACATAATATTATGTGTAAGTCAACGTTCACGCACATACACGGTTAAAGTTGGACATTGGCGAATTGCAAATGCTACACAGTCACCTGAATAATATGCTAATATTAAAGGATAACCTTCACACCGACTCGGTGTAAACTGTGTCAGAATATCATACAAATAACATAAGAAAATATGATTATATATTATACACGTAGTTTCTTTTAAATTCTGAGGTAATTGTACGTTTTTAGGAGACAGAACAGCTAGTTTTAGGTTGGCCTCTTCTTCACTCAAGAAAGTTTGTGAAATTATTAAACTATGTAAATTGAAATGTCCAGTTAAAATATATGGTCGACTTATAATGAGACAAGGCAAATAGATCAAATAGATATGGAGATAATATTTTACGACGTGGTGGAATCAGGCCCTCATACATTTCTGGATATATATTGGAGTTATTGGTGTCATCTTAAAATTGTTCAAGTGTCTTTGTTTTGATGAAACGAAATTCAAATCTGCGTTGAATGGAAGTAGAGATGTTCGTGATTAAAAGAGGTACGGTTTGACTGCTGTCTGGGGTAAAATTAATGAGAAATTGGCCGCCAAATTTTGGAGATTTTCAACACTATAGTGTCCTTGGAAACTGCAGATGTACATTCTGTGTGATTTTGATCACTGTTTTTCAATACAATCCACATAGGACTGTGTTTTGAAATGGACAGTATAAGTGTTGAGTTAAAAAAAGAAAAGGAAACAGCAACCAAAAACAACAACCAGAAAAAGAAAAGAAAATCTATGTTTTTTAAATGCACGACAGGCGGGAAACTGTCGGTATCTTCGATTTCAATATTTTAACGAGTTCCTGATCTCACCACGGTACCACACATATTTTTAAAGCTTTTAAATTCAAGAAACACCCCAAGTACCTACACCGCAGACGCGCATCATACCCTTTAGGCTACCTATGGGCATTTACTCTCTGATTGTATCAATCTAGGATAAAAAGGACGATCGACCTCACTTCTTTGGGAAAATATTTTGTTTTTGCCTTATCCCAACTTTTCACCTGCTTTTTTTTTTTCTTTCATTTTTGCCCCAAGCTGTTGGGCAGAAAACGGTAAATAAAATGTTCAGGGAAATGATAACGGTTTTTTAAATTTAAAAATAGTATTTTCCTTTAACCTAATCTGTGACCAATGCTCGCTGTGAATTAAAACGTAAGTTAGATACCGATTAACATTTTCATTATTGATATTTCTTCAATATCTAAAACCGAAACTGCATTTTTTTTTGTTATAACGGTTATTGTAATATTATTAGCTGATTAATTAGTCCCAGTTTTTTCGAATCATAAATATTTAACGGTCTAGGTTGATTTCAATAATAATATAATTCCAATAAATGTCAAGTACTTTCTTGTCGTTGTCTGCGTACAAAGTACACCGTTGTATTTGATACATGTAATATTATGGGTATATGGCTTGGAATAAGAAGTGTCCTTGTCACCAAGGGGTCGTCGGATAGAAAGTTACAAAACAGGTTCAAGATCTGTGTAGAGGAGGATAGTGAACATAATAATAGCAGTCATAATGACCATGATAGCTAGCAATTATGAAAATAATAGCAATCATGATATAAAAGCCTGATAGATAAAGATAGTAATAATAATAATGAGAAAAATATTAATAATATTACTTATAATGATAATGTTAAAATAATGAAAATAATAATAATAAAAATAATGACAATAATAATAATTTTAAAAAATAGAATAATAATAATAATAATAATAATAATAATATTAATAATAATAATAATAATAATAATAATAATAATAATAATGATAAAGAGTCAGAATATTGTATTAATTTAGCCATAACAGTAATGATAATAATAACAACAGTAATGATAATAATAATAATAATAATAATAATAATAATTTATACATTATAATTACTTTTCTATTATTATTATTATCATTGTTATTATAATTATTAACATTATTACTACTATTATAATTAATATTATTATTATCTTTATTCTTCTTATTTATTGTGGAAAGTATAATAATGACAGTAATGACAATACTGGCAATCATAACAATAGCAACAGAAACGGTGAAGAAAAATAATAATTTTTGCTTTATTAGTAATAACATTATTGTCCCGTACTTCATCCTAATTTCCAAAGAAAATTATAATATTATTATATTACGTCGATTTTTTCCCTGCCCATTTCGCAGTTACTTACCTTGGACATAATCTCAAGTCAAAATAGAAAAAAAACAACGTTTCCTTCTTCCTCCCCCTTCAAAAACTTAACTCCTCTGCTCACCCCCAACCCATCCCCCAATCCCCTGCCCACAATACTATTCCATTCCTCCCCGTAAAGCTCTGACCTTCTGCACAAACATGTGCAAAGAGGACGACACACACAGGCATACACACATTCGCGAACACAAAAGCACACACACACAATGAATCTGATATTTTAGCTTACACTCACACACACACACAAACATGAACGCTTACACACACACACACACACACACACACACACACACACACACACACACACACACACACACACACGTGTGTGTATATGCTTCCTAATCTTCTTAACCACTCTCAAATAAACATGGTACATGTATACGTATAAACGAGAATACACACAAACAGTACTTCTGGGGATTCAGTGACACACTCAGATCATGAGAAAGTCAACAAGCCGATTACAAGAGTATACCGTCTAGCTTTCTCTACCTATCCGATCTTCCAGACCGTTCGTCAGCAAATCAAGGTTTTGTGGCATTCAGCAATAATAGTCCTTATTATGTGTAATAAAGAGGACACAGGGTGTTTGAGAACTAATTTGATCCTGCTTTTACTTTGTACATTGTCGTTTTCAGGTAAATGATAAGAGATAGCTTTTGTATAGCACAAATCTCCTGTCAACAGCAAGCTCTGTGCGCTTCACAATCTATACATAATCATATTATCTTAAGTTATGTGACTGAAAGTAGCCGTCCGAGACTGAAAAGGACAATAGGGAAAGGGCAGGCACTGACAGAGAATGAGAGAGACGGAGAGAGAGAGAGAGAGAGAGAGAGAGAGAGAGAGAGAGAGAGAGAGAGAGAGAGAGAGAGAGAGAGAGAGTCAGAGAGAGAGAGAGGGAGAGAGAGAGATAGATAGATAGAGAGAGAGAGAACAAGAAGAAAAATAATAATTATGCGTGGAGTACTGTCATTATGCAAAGACAATATATTAAAAAATTACTATTATGCATTAAACAAAATAACGAACCGTGCTAGGAAGTTTTGAAAAAGATTGGCGTGCATCTCAAACACGTTAGGCTACTTAATTTCTGTTTCCGGGTCATCTAGGTACCTACATGAGGGTCTGATTTGGGTTGTATATCAGGAAATGGTGAATAAATGTGTTGAAACATACGTCTTACTAGAACTTTTTGTGATGGGGTGATTTGATGTTTTGAAATCATCCAGAACCAACTTGCTCTTGAATTCAAGTATCAAATTATAATATGAAATATTAATCGTTGTTCCCCCCCCCCCCCCCACATCCTTTGCCTCTATTTTCCTCCTCCTTATCCTTCTTCTTCTTCTTCTTCTTCTTCTTCTTCTTCTTCTTCTTCTTCTTCTTCTTCTTCTTCTTCTTCTTCTTTTTCTTCTTCTTCTTCTTCTTCTTCTTCTTCTTCTTTTTCTTCTTCTTCTTCTTTTTCTTCTTTTTCTTCTTCTTCTTCCCTCGCCTTTTCCAGCTCCCTCTCTGCCCCCTTTCCCCCTCAAATCTGTGCTTTCTTCCACATCCTATTTCAAATAATGATAATAATATATTACTACACATTTAAGATAATTTGACTGTATACAAATGACACTCCTCTGCGTGTATAATGTGTCCAAAATATCAAACCTAAATCAATGTCATTGATGTAAACTTAGTAAAGCGTTGTGGTTACCCTTTGCTTTCCCCAAGAGCAGTGTTCACCACAAGGAACAACAATAGCTGCCCACAGAAGCCGCCAGAACTTTTGATCAGAGACAGTTTAAGTTTTAGTTTTAATAGAGGTTTTACGGTGCTCGCAACTGCATAAGGTGATATGAACGCCAAGGGGTGGATGTCAACTTCTCTATCTTCCACAGGACAAAGTCAGCGAGAGACAGTAGCGCACATGTACTTCTAGATTGATGCTTGCCTACCTTGGCGTCATCGCCCACTAGAGAACGATTTTGTAATAAAACTTAGGTGAGCGGGAGAGGGGGGGGGTCACCCGAATAGTGACGTGTGTCATTTAACTTGATGCCCTACCTGAAATGCATAATATGTACGAGTAAGTCGGTGGTACGAAAACTGTAGCCTCTGAAAAGTAGTAAAAAAAAGCGCGCTGTTAAAAAAAAGGGTTGAGCAGCACTGTGCTAGATCATCCCATGGCTTTCTTACAGCACCGTAGACCACATTGAATAATTAGATTTGATCTTGATATAACGACAAACTATCCAAGAAAACAACATAATGTACAAACGACCACTTACTGATCCCACTCTTGTGCTTTCAATTTATTATAATAACACTTTTTTAAAAATGCACCTGTCTAGGTCACTTTTCTCCTCGCTCCTCGACAATAGGCGAATATCTTGAACAATTCTGACAGTAGTTGTTTATTCCTTTCTTTTTTGTTTGTTCATGTTTTTAAGTGTCCTCGGATGTTTCAGAAGCTCTCATTGTGACGCTGTTTCCACAGGTAAAACGGCGACTCCTCGTGGCCGAACTCGTCTTGTTGGAAGGCGGACACTTGGGTGGATTCGGAGACGGTGTTGACACAGAACAGTCGGAAGAAAAGCGCGAACAAGATCCAATCAGCACCCAAGATACAGAAGCCGAACACCGGGACCCACTGGTCAGTACAGAGGCGGTCAAGGCTGGTCACTCTTGAGGCGCTGACAAGAATGTAGATTGTGGCTGTGTTTGGAAAAAAAGGGGTGAGGGTAGACGAAGGAGAAAGGTGTTGTATCAATTAATACATTAGCGATGAAGTTGTTTTGACTTTGCCCCCCTCCTCCACTTCCTAATCCTCCCCCTTCTCCCTCTTTTTATTCCCTTCCTCACCGTCCTCCTCATAATTTTAAACATTTGTACAACGCACTTCCATAAAGTACAATGCTCTTTGCGCTTTTGCAAAACTTCCAAGTAGCTTGTGTTTTCTTCTTCTTCTTCTTCTTCTTCTTCTTCTTCTTCTTCTTCTTCTTCTTCTTTTTCTTCTTCCTCTTCTTCTTCTTCTTCTTTTTCTTCTTCTTCTTCATTCTCTCCGCTCTACCCCCTTTTCTTCTAATCCCTTTCCTTTTCCTTTCACATTTTCTACACTCAAATATCACTACCAAGTCTCTTGGCTTATAACAAACTTTTCTTTAAAAGGCACAGCAGTCACTTTGAAACTAGCTAATCCTGAGCACCATAAATTTCTAATCCTGGACCGTGCATTATCATGGCTGCCACTATTACTCTTAAACAAAAAGCAAACAGACAAAGAACCACGCAAATACAAAATATAACAAAAACTCCGTGAAATATGTGCATTATTGTAGGCCGTGTCATTTCCTCAAAATAAATTATGTACCATCAGGCTCGCTACAGCCGAGGGCGTGTTACACCTCCCCCCTTTGAATTTCATTTTTGAGTCAAACGATGCGTTCCAAAGTGTACCGGTAATAAGTCAGAGAATATAATTATGATGATACAAGTCAATGGTGAAATTAGATGCGCTGTATGGGAAACGAATGCGTAAAAAAAAAAAAAAAAAACAACCCCAGAGCAAGCTATTTTTCAATAATCGTTTCTTTTTTAAAACTTTTTTTTGTATTTCACCTTTTTACATGCATCTAACATAATTTATTAAATGATCGGATCCATGTATGCCATTGAGCAATGCAAACCACAAAATGTAGCCTACTAAAAATGAAGAGGTTCAATATCTTGGAATCTAATGAAAAATCATTTTAACTTTGCTACCATTGTTACTACTGTTTTCAGTACCATAATACATGTACAATGAGTTGTCATATTATGCAAAGAATATATCCGAACCTGCTCTAACCTCCACCTATCACAGAATGCTTCCCTGATCAGCCCTTGCCTTTTTCATACCGTAATGACACCGCCCAATATCTAATAATTTTTATTATTATGTATAAATTCATATGATGCGCGCAACAGTATTTGTATAATTTTTTTTTTTATTGTACTTAAACTTTCACACATAAAACACACGCAAAAAAAACACACACAAAAAAAAAACACCACCAAGACAAAATCAACGTACCAGCAATCATCAGGGCTATAGATACGATGAAGAGTTTTCCTAACAAGTCCCAAAAATCCTCCAAGTCACGTGACTTCTTGTAGAAGGAAGCGAGCACAGCGATGCAAGCTGGGATCAGAGCCAAGATCCCGCCAATGATGAGGTAGTACGGCAAGAGACTGAAGCCCAGACATCCTCCATCAACGTACAAGGAACCTAAGCGGGAAATGTATTTAAATATTGATATTATTATATTATATAATATATGTGAGGCAGCGTGGTGGAATCAGGCTCTCGTCAAATTTTGGGCAAGTAGAGTTATTGGTATCATCTTAAAGCTTGTTCACTTGTCCTTATTTGGATGAAAAAAATATCCATTGATCTTGAATACAAATCGAGATATTTGCGAAAGAAGGAGGTGGAGATCACCTGTTTTCAGAGGTAAAATTAGTGAGAAAATGGCCGCCAAAGATTAGTTATTTCCTTAGCTTAAGAGTCTGTTGTAACTGAAAATGTATATTTTTGTGCCTTTAATCAAAGCTTTTCAGAAAAATCCACAGAAAAATGAGCTCTTTAATGGGCATGAACGGTGTTGAGCTAAAAAAACAAAAGTTTGATAAAAATGGACAAACCTGCAGAAAAATGCAAGTTTCTTCACTTTGATTATTTTAACGAGAGCCTGATTCCACCACGCTGCCTCACATATAACATAATATGAGGAGTGACAAATACCATTAGAGAAATGATACTTTAAAGTTACAGGCTTTGTAAAGGACTAGTTGTGAAGGCAGGTAACTCTCCAGTGCCTCTCGCAGCTATAAATGGGGAATTTGATTTGTAACTTTAAATCGTCTTTTTTGTTTGTTTCAGTTGAGGTTTTACTGCGCTCGTAACTGCATAAGGTCATATTGAGGTGTAGATGTCAACAGAAAAGTCCTTACAGGGAATCAGACTTACTCTGCTCACCTCTCTAGCTACAACAGCACAAGGTCTGCTTTGTCTAAGAAGGCACCCCGGAAATACCAGGTCACAAGAGTGTGACAAACATACAAAAGAAGTAGAGGAAGAAATGACGATAGTACGGATTAGGAAAGAAAAAGCAGCAGTTCCATGTTGCAGTTTAGGCCCAGTTAAGAGCATGACATCGATGAATCAACCCAATTACAATTCTACTGTGCATAAGAACAGGTTAAAGTCACCTCTTTGGGAATGGCCTAAAGATACTTTAGTCAGTAGCACCGCTCCGGGGGGGGGGGGGTAATCCTCTTTTCGAGATAGATAAAACTAAATATTGCATTTACATGTGTTTTACCAAAGGGGGAAGTTGAAAAGAAAGTCGTATATTAAGGTGGGCGTGGCCAACTGTTCACATAACGGACATGATCACATAGACGAGTATCAGATTGGGTTAAATGACTTGGCTATAACACTTTACTGTGTTTCTATAATCAACGAGAAAAGACGAAAGAAGCAAAACCAGAATAATAAGTGAAAGTGAAAGGTCTTAATATATATATATATATATATATATATATATATATATATATATATATATATATTTAATGTTGCGTTTACATTAAATCAAGTAGGACATGACCTCAGAAGACATACACAAAAACACTCTGAATTACCAACATGGTTGTTTTAGGCTCTTTTTTTTGGGGGGGGGGATATGGAGTTTTTTATCACATCTTAAATCGTGTTCGTTATTCTTGTTTAAGAACAAAAACATCCATTTACCTTCAACAGCAACTGAGATGTTGGACTTTGGGATCGCCTGATGTCACAAGCAGAATTAGTTTTTAAAAAACGGACAAGCATCGTTTCGACGAGAGCCTGGTTTCACCACATTGACACACAAAACACGTACTCACCTACGACGATTTTCGTGACACTTGCTGCTGTGAGCAAACCGAGCCAGGTGGCTGCGGAAACAAAGAAAAAGGAAATTTTAACTCAATAAGGACGCACATTCTGCTTAATCGACAACGTTTGAAGACGTGCTGTTTTGTGGCATGTAATTGGAGAATATCTTCTTTATTCATTCTGATTTTTTGATTCTGTGTTTCTGTATCTTAAGCTTAAAGAGGTAGGCAACAATACGCACACAGTGAAGTATGCAAATGAATGCTTCTGAATTGTTTTTGATTTTTTGAACGTGCCACAACATGCCCTTTGTCCCTCTGCTGATTGAACTTCTGGAGTCTATTTCATGCTCAAAGCATTGAGGAGAGACCTCTATTCTCCTTTCTCACTTTCTCCCATTTTTCTAATGTATGATAATGGTTTTTATTAATCTGTGAATTCGTATGCCTGTGCTGTAGTGGTTAGGCGCTTCCCTGTCTCACTCCGAAGATCCAATCAAGTTCGATTCGCATTCTGGAAAAAAACATTTTTAGCACCTATGTCTTTCTGCAAGGACATTGTATCTCTCACAGCATGGGTTGGCCCAGACAGGTGGGGGTCGAAGCCTGTCTCCTAAATGATTATCTAAATAGTGTCTATAGGGTGTAAAAACTTCTATTTTTATAGTTGGAAGCATTGATTTGGATTTTAACATTTCCACCATTGTAGGTAATATAAATAGGATTGTTTGAGGGCTCTGTAATGTAGTTTCCTCCTACTTGCCTATCAAACGTCTACCATACGCACCCCTCCCCCTCCCTCCACTCCCTTTTCTTTGTACGTTACTGTCCAGTAAAACCTCTAATATGACCTACAATTTTGCGAGTGCTATAATACTAAACAAATCTAGACTAAACTAGACTAAACTAAACTAAACTAAATTAAGCTGAACTAAACTAAACTAAACTAGATTAAACTAAACTAAACTAAACTAAACTAAATTAAGCTGAACCAAACTAAACTAAACTAGACTAAACTAAACTAAACTAAACTAAACTAAACTAAACTAAACTAAACTAAACTAAACTAAGCTGAACTAAACTAAACTAAACTAAACTAAACTAAACTAAACTAATCTAACGTGATATACGTTATGGGGCCATTGCTCGATTTCACCAATTCTACCTTCTTCGCTGCTTGTCATGTTTAATTGTCTTTTGTTTCGTTTTCTCGAAAAGTATTTTTACACTTACCTGTCGCGATTTTGTTGGCATTACTTGCAGTTTTCTTCCTCTCCAAAGAAGGTAATTCATGAATCTTAGAAAGAGAGGAAATGGAAGTGTCATGGTTATTATGACTGCACCATATACATGTATAACATTAAATATAACATCGACCGGCTATTCAGATGTGGTAAGCCCAAAATTTTTACTTTTCTTGATTTGCATTTCCTTACTCTGTATTCGTGGTTGCCTACTTGTGAATTAACAATATTTGGCCGATCTGCAATTTAAAAATAATTCAGGTGTTGAAAAATGCAAGAAATAAATCAAGCACCACGTAAGTACAATTTGTAAATGAATAATTGAAGCATTTTTCTCTCTCGTGAAAAAACGGGATTTCTGGGCTGAGGACATCGAACACCTGTCCTTCCAAAGTGCGATACCGTGTCTCTATTGAAGCACCCCACCCCACCCCAACTCCTTCATATTTCCTTCTTTTGATGTATTTTCCGCAAAGCTATAAGTGTTCTACGTCCAAGACCGAACAAAAGTTATCATAATATAATAATATGTCTTAAGCGCGACAGAAACTGACTTGGCAATATTCCTTTTTTCTGTTCGCCTGCCTGCCCGTCTGTCTGTCCTCATTCTACGTCATTCTCTCTCTCTCTCTCTCTCTCTCTCTCTCTCTATCTCTCTCTCTCTCTCTCTCTCTCTCTCTCTCTCTCTCTCTCTGTGTGTGTGTGTGTGTGTGTGTGTGTGTGTGTGTGTGTGTGTGTGTGTGTGTGAGAGAGAGAGAGAGAGTGTCTTCCTTTCTCTTCTTTTCTTTAATTTTTGGTCTTTCCTGCAATTTTTGATGTTTTTCTATCAAATTTGTTCCCAGTCGCTGTCTGTTTTCGTTTGTTCTGTATCCCCCCTTCCCCCTCCATTTCTAACACTTTCCAAAAGTACAGTGTCTTGAGCACTTTTATTCCAATGCAAGTTTGCTCAACGAAACTGCACACTGAAGCAGTTGTTTTAGGGTAGGGTAGGGTAGGGTAGAGAATGGTAGGGTAGGGTATTGTAGGGAAAGGTTAGGGTAGGGTACTGTACGGTACGGTATGGCAAGGTACGGTATGGAATGGTATGGCATGGAGGCCTTATTAATCTGTAGTGACAGTCATAAATGGAGAATTTAAAGCACTAAACTGACACAATGTTAATGATAAAACCTGGAGTAAACAGAAGGATACACGAGGCTCGGAGTCTGGACGATACAGGTTAATATTTGCAAGTCAAAATCGGCAAATATCTCTAAAAAGGACAAGTTTTCAATCGTGACTATTCCCTGTAATAAGCTATGGGTTTCAAACCTGGCCAATTATCAGAAATATCATAACTGAAAGCACAAAAAGCAATTGAAAGAATGATGCTGAGCTTGAGATTGCAAGATTAAATATGCACATAAAAAATCCAAAAGTAGAAAACATGAGGTGAAAAAACCCTGCAAATTTAGACTCCAACAATTAATAGGAATGGACGGGTCACTCAAATTGGTAGAAGGAAAGATAACAAATGAACAAAAAGATGCAGTGTATGAAGAGCAAGAACAAGAACCGATCAAGAGGAAGACCAGAAAAAGATAGCAAGATGATATTAGAGAGCGGACATGTACAACCTGGACACGGAGAACAGCTAGTAGGACAGAGTGGAGACATTGTTTGAGAGCTACATCCTGAAGTGGACAGATAACGCTTCGATAGAAAGAAAGAACGTACTTTGACTTTGCCTATCAGACAAACTCAATAATTTGGAAAAGGGAACAGTGTCCCTCCACAAAGACAGAAATACTGGACAAAACAGATTTTAAAACGTTTTCTTTTTGTTTGTTTGTTTGCTTTACCCTGCAGCAGTTTGAATTTTATAAAATGCCTTCCAATTCAAAATAGCTCCTTATCAGAATCAAGATCTTAAATTTAGTTTTCAAGCTGCCATTTAAGAAATCGTACTGCTATAAAATCTTACAGTCCGCATTTTGTATCCCTGTCGTATAAACTTATATCTGGTGCTCTTCTCCATCTTGCCGGGATGAAAGTCGTGCGTCTATGCCGTAGCAGTTATGTACTTCATACTATACTTCATTATCTTGCGCAGGAGATCCGAGTTCGATTCCAGGGTGGAAGTAAACACACATAAATATCTCAACCATACGAATAGTCATTGGACGGGCGCACCAAATTAAATCCCACACCGCTGACAATGGCTGATTGGCTTGTACTAACGGTGTTATTAAAAAACAATAATGTACCCGTTGATTTTTGCTTTAAACAGGTTTTCATGACAGGCAATTATAGTGTAGCGGATTATACAAGCTATTTGCCGTCGTAGGCAAGAGATACCAGATCGATTCCTGGGTTGAGAGAATGTTTATGGAGCATCTCGGTCTTTCTTCTGGATTTGTGTATCCCTTTTAGTCCTGACAGGCATGGTTGAAGCCTGCTTCCTAGAATGATCTAAACGTGTCGATTGGGGGGGGGGGGGTGATAGCACACATCGTTACATTGGAATTACAAAGTTCTATCTGCACAGTACTAGGTTTTGAGAAATTTGACATCAAAGATTTGGAGTTCGAAATCATGTCAAGCTTTTTCGATTGCAATTCTTTTAATATCTTGATAATGACTCCGAATAAACTTACAATTTTTATTGAGCAGATAGAACATTTTATTTCAGACCTCAGGGTTTTAGCAACTGAAAACGGCCCAAAAGGGTCAGATAGAACTTTGTAATTCTGAGGTAGCGATACGTAAAAGAAGTAATTAGACGGACATACAAGATTATATTATTCTCACACCCACCAGACAATGACTCAATAGCTCGTTAAAATGATGGCATTGATGAAAATGTATACCCGTTGGTTCCAGCTTAAACAGGGTTTTATGAGCCCAAAAGTAGGGCAACCTCACCTCCGGCAAAGGGGGCAGTGGTCTGAGTTTTGGCCACAGCACTCGAGGAGACAGAGTATCCAAAGGATTCATCCCTCGGCGCTCCATGAAATTGAACCGCACTCGAGGGCGATCCTGGGCGGGTTTCTCAGACATCAGAGAATAAACAAGTGACCACTTTCCAAAATTGCACAGTACTCCCGAAGAGATCAGTAAAACGGAGACACTCGTCTTCTTATGCCTCGTATGCCTTCAGAACTTCCGAAACGACAAACGTCAGAGAACTAGCTTGATGTAATAAGTACGCCGATTAATTCTATTTTAAGGATTGGCGTTCAAGATGGAGGCGCTTCCAAGGCAACACGAGTGCTTACCCTTACAGGGCTGCTTTAATAATTCTTCAGGTAGAACATAATATCAATACTAAAAGCAAACTTGTTCTTGTCTATAGACATTGACATTCAGGTACTTAACCCCACACCCCAATCCCCATCCGCGTTCCCTTTCCCCTCTTGCTACATTTTTTTTCAAATACGAAAAAAGAGTACGAAATGATCACATTATGCAGGGCAGAAAAAAAACCCGACAGAGCTTTCCCATTTATATCTCATTCGTTCTTGTTATTTTGGGACAACCTTCGTCTGCTAAATGTTTCTTTTGATTCTTGTTCCCAATTACCGTAGTCGCTGGAGTCATCAAAATTCCATTTAGGCAAAAATCTGCATAGATTAAATGTCATTTCGTTTTTTCACGACCCGGGTACTTAAATCATGATCGGTAAAGGAATTGAAAAGGGCAGGAAAAACTGAAAAGAAATAAAGTGGAAATGGAAAAAGTAAAGTGATTTTACACTTTAAAAAAATAAATACGACAACGTAGCGTTAGTCAAAATGTCATGTTCCTGTTTGTGTTATTTGATCACCCCGATTATACAAACAGATCAGCTTTTCTCAATTGCACTTCTGATTTCTTCCCCAAGTTCTTTTAGACACGCTAAAGCTTTGTATACCGCAGGAAAAGAAATACAGAAACAGGTGTCATCGTATTTTCATTTTAAATACTTACACCCTTCCACTGACTATTGACGTCATCCAAAGTTGGTTACTTGTAAGACCAATACCCACTCCCACCACGTCGTGTTTTTTTTCAAAGCTCTTCAACCATTGAGCATAAGGACCGTTAGAAGATTGAACCTATATTATTGAACATACGTGGAAACACGATCGATCTGTCATTCTGACATTACCACCACTCACGCAGCTGATAACGTCAACCACTACCTGTACTACTGGTTCGATCTAATTCAAATAATTTTGACAAGAGATTTTGATATTTGGAGACAGATTCTAAGTACTATATTGTACTGGAACTCTCACGTATTTAAGGTTTCAACTTTGGGTCTTTGGTGTATGGTTACAATATCTATGGTACCGTTTCCCAATAATAATTATAAGTGAATACGAAAACATACCAAAACACCTCCACACAAACACACAAACACATGCACTCACGTCTTGGCAGATAGATAGATAGATAGATAGATAGATAGATAGATAGATAGATAGATAGATAGATAGATAGATAGATAGATAGATAGATACTACCATTATCCTCCACGGCCTCCATATACGTTGACAAATACAGTTGGATATACACGATATACAAAGGCGAAGGAGGCGGGATTAGGGCCCAGAACCATCGCCCTATACTTACTGAAGAACATGGAAAAGCCATAAGGACTTGGGAAAATATTGTCATTCTCCTTGTAATCTGTTGCTATTTTTAGCTTGACCTTTTCTCTAAATACGATTCCGACAATTTGATCGGTACGGAAAGCAAATTGCAAGATAGTCCTGGAATGTTTTGTTCTTGGGTTTTTTATATTTCTTTATTATTTTTTCTCTCAATGTACCAATTATTATGTATTATAATAATATACGTATTTTAAAAAAAAATTTAAAAAAAAAATATATATATTATATATTTATATAACATATTATTATATTTTTCCTCTTAGGTTTGACTACCTTCATGGGGTTTCACTGATTTTGAGGCAGACGTCATTTAGTTTTCAAGGCTGCCCTCCTGTTGTGCAAAGTCATGTGAAGCTAAGGACGTTTATATTCTGAGTTACCTCCTCTTATATGATCTGTTGCTGTTGAATGAGCGA